TAATCAAGACAGCTAATTGCTATACATGCGTCGCGACATGCCAGTTTATGAGCACCGTGTGTATGTCAATAGGACCTGTTCCCAGACTCCGCTTAAGAAGGGCAAAATGTCAAGGTTTTTATCATTATTTTTACAGAGCACTAAAAGGAAATCATTTGATGCCATACATATAATATTCTGATTTTGGCCACGCAACGTATTCTACCCCTCTAAGCTGTTTGAAGCGTCAAACCCCAGGTTCGGTTTCCGTTTCATAGTAAATCAATACATTTTTTCCAAATTATGATCACAACGATTTTTTTTTACTCACTGCACTCTTTGACCATTGCAATATTTTCCCGTCTCAATCTATTTGTCACCAATATTATACTTGCAATATCACAGACCAAATCTACTACTCATCGCTGACAAGAATGTTAATAGTTTAGTCAAGAAGCAATTTTTGTTAAATGATTCATATAAATTCCCCAATATGTTCCTCATTCCAGAACGCACAACTTCATTTAATTTCAAGTTTGTTTTCACTGACACCCTGAAACTGTTTCTAGTAGAATCAATTGAATAACTCAAGTATGTTGCATCATTATAAGATTTAACTTTTGATCATTTTCTCTATCCAGTTAATATATAAATTGGCCCAGTGGTATTGGAGAGGTCACCAATATGAAAAGTTAACAAACAGACTGATAGAAGGACGGTAAATGAACAATATAAGTTAACAAGGTGTGGGTTTGAGAGTCATCATTATGAAGCCCCCTGTAATCGGATTTTCGGGGGGCATATTCTCGTAGTTTTTAGTTTGTCCATCTGTCTGTTTATCTGTATGCCCTCAGAAACTTTAATCTTTCTCATAACTTTTGAAAGCATGCTTCTTGGGCTTTCGTAATTCATATGTGCATTCTTTGGGACAGTACCTTTCTTTGGGTACCAAAATATTTGACTTCATGACCTTGACTTTTGAGGTTGAACTATTTTCAAAAAAAAAGTTATACCAACTTTAACCTTGCAAATAAATTCTGAACAGTTGGTGCTTTCATGTTTCACAGGTATCTTTCTTCTGACAAGACCTTTCTTAGGGTTTCAACATTTTACAACATCACCTTGACCTTGGAGTTAAACATACTTTTGAAAAACTCTAACCTTGGTCATATTTTCTGAACTATTGGTGGTAGGGCTTTCATATTTCACATGGATTTCTTTGTGACAAGACCTAAGGTTTTTCTTTCTTTAAGTACCAACAGTTTTTTTATACCTCATAACATTGACCTTGAAGTTTGCCCTATGTTTGAGAAAAATATTCTTGGCCATAACTATTGAAAGATTGGTACAAGGACCTTCATATATATCACATATGTATTTCTTAAGACAAAACCTTTCCTTGGGTACCAGAATTTTTTTTTGACTTCATGACCTTAATCTTAGAGTTTAACCTACGTGTGAAAAACATTTACCTTGACCATAACTTGAACGGTCGGTGCAAGGGTTTTCATATTGAAAATGTGTATATGTATTCCTTTTGACAAGAATTTTTTATGGGTACCATTTTTTTGCCTCATTACCTTGACATTAGAGTTTTTTAAAAAAATTAAATCTTGGCTTTAGCTGTCATACAGGGGCATCGGTGCTTCACGAACACTTCTTGTTCTTATGTAAATTTGGTCAACTTGTATTCAAATCTAGCGTTTTTACATTGGAATTTTTTTTCAATGGGCCAGAGATAAAAAGAAGGGATTTAAATACAGGTTTCTGGTTTTTGTAAAAATTGGACAACAGTATAGATTCCTTAATTTGCTCTTTAAACTCTCTCTCTACAAAATACACAAATTAAGTGCATACACTCCAAAGTTTTTAAGCCATTCAGAGAGTCTCATGTGAGTTTCAATCAATCCAATGTGAAATTAAGGTTAAAAGTACTTTAAAAATTATTATTTTAATTATGAATTGGTTTATTTACTTACATGTATGTATATTCTCTAAGGCTATTCGAATTAATCCCTGTGTCAAAACCTTTCTGTAAAGGAGTTCAGAAAATTGACTGTCTTCACAATGAACGGTCGGAAAATAATTTGTTTTGTGTCTAGAGGTTTAATTATAAGAAACAATTACAGTAAATATTTCTATGATTAATAGAAGGGACTGAATCAAGAAATCACTTCTTTGGAACTAAGATTATTGACGTTTTTATATACATGTACTTAAATATCTTTAACCCGTTTTTGACAGATATGAAAGACAGATATAATTCAATAGAATTATGAAAATTAATTATTTTACTTTTTATCAGTTAATTATGCATTTTCTCGGCAATATACATAACTAATAATTACTGACCTTGATCCCCCCCCCCCCCCCCAATGATTTTGGACACTTGAATATGTTTTAATTTCATTGCTGAAGAGCTCCAACAAGGGTAGAAGTTCGAATCGCTAATCAATTTCGAATTCAGCTTTTCACGAAGGCAGGATAGCTCGAGGCGTTTAAAAGTTGACTGTCTGCCCTTGGAAGCTAATCGATCAACAATGATTATGTGTGAAAGAATTAAAACTCTTCAGAACTGGTCCATACATACAAACTATTACAAAACTCATTGTCATAAAATTTTCACGAAGGTCTATACCTACCTCGAATCAATATAGCTCCTTAAGGTCATTAACCCTAAGCGAGTCTAAAATATGTAAAAATTGGTCACCAATTCTCTCTGTTTTATTGTTAAATTTAAAATGATGCACAATTTTGATTATTGTTGTTAATATCGATTAAATTCTTTAGGCTGCCATTTGTTTGAAATATTTTTATGTGTTTTGCGTAAATCTTTGAATAACAGTGTAAAAAGGTTGAGGTCACTTTATCTATCCGTAAAACGTGTTTCTTAACTATTGAATAAGTCCATAGAATATGTTGTCATAATTTCTGTGTGAATCAGTGCTGTCTAGTGAAAAGAGAGGTGTCTGCAAGTCGAGGACGAGAATTTGGTGTCAATAACATCTTGGATAGTTAAATTCCTCAGTTTATATTTAATTTACTCTTGGCATGAAAGGCCTTGTCCTCAAACTTATTAAAAATGCTTGTACTCAGGGGCACTGTGATTTTTTTTTATTAGCTCACCTGAGCCAAAGACTCAAGTGAGCTTTTCTGATAGAAGTTTATTGGTCAAATAAGCAGATTCTTGTTAGCTATATTTTTTTTTGGTCAAGTCATGGCCTTTGGCAGCTTCCCAAGTCAAGGACTTCTTATCCACTCTGATCCACATAAAGTTTTGACCGAATAGACTAAGTTTGACGGAGTTTACTATCGCGCCATCGTGTGAGATTACAGATTTGGACCTCTACTAACCCATGCTATTGACTAATAAGAGTAAGTGAATTCAACAGAGATTGGAAGTCGGTAGTTAATTCAACATCACTGAGTTATTTAATGGTAAAGACGTTTTTCGCTGCAACTGAAACTGGAGTGTTTACTGCTTACGAGATAGTTTCAGGTTAAATAAAACCGTTTTTGATTGGCTCATGCATATTTTTATGAGACCAATCATAGAGAGCGCATTTCTAACCCCGTCAAATTAATATGTCTTTATGGTCAAGGGTTTAAGTGGAGCGAAGTAGATCAGAAATCCTTGACTTAAGAAGATGGACCCTTGGGGCTAAGGTGGACCACATCAGGGTTTCAAGTAAAACATATTACAATATAACAAAAATCGACAACGCCAATGTTGTAACAGTCAATTAAATTTGCAAGTATCCTCGTGTAATGCTCTCCGGTTTGTTTAAGCTATCAACCTTTGTACAGTAGGAACCAACGAAAGAGATCCATATTTTTACGTGAAAAAATATATACTTGTAAAACATTTTTATTGGGCCTTCTCTGGAAGTCATGGTTTTGATTTATCAAATCAATTTGGATGTATTATCAGTGTGCATATATATAATTTTGTTCAATTCATTTCCCCTGAGGCATAGGCCAGGTCATAAAAAGAGTACATATAAAAGATCTAGAAAAACAGATAATAAATGAAAGGATTTAAAAAAAAAATTAAGAGGAAGTAATCTGTGGGGTGTCAAAACATGTGTATGGCTTTATCTAAGTTCAGTTTTTTTTTTTTTTTTTTTTTGGGGGGGGGGGGGCATATTGTACATTATTTCATATAGAGAGGGAGGGCCAGGGGAATCAGGTGAGTATTGTGTCCACATGCCTCATAATTTCACGAAAAGCAAGCATTTGTGCGCGTTGTTTATTTGTTTAAAATTTTTTGGAAGGTAAAATTTACCTGGTACTGTGTGAGAGTGGATAAATGTGTTATGCGGTATGAATTTTCCATGTACTTGTGCCTTATAAGAATAGAAATCCACAAGGAAACGGTCAAAACAAATGAAATGAGAGATTATTATTTGTCAAGATGCAGTGAATATCTGTTCACTTATTTGCAAATTTTCTGAAAGAATACTGTCTGATATGATAATGTAATGTATTTGTCGCTTTAATGACTCACACAGGTTTGAATTTCTTTTTTACCTCAAAACATTTAACAATCTAAGTTCTTAAATTAAAAAAAAAAAATCTGCCTATTGTATGTGCATTCAGTGCAAAGTTTTTTTGTTGCTTTTTTGAAATCCGTGTACCAATTTTAATGTATGGTTTTGGTTCTGAGGCGTATCATTACGTATACAAATATAAATATCTGTCAGGAAATAATTCAATGTTATCTTTTTCTTCTATTATACATTCTCAAAACTCCCTTTGAAGTCGGTCACGTGAAGCATCATTGTTGACAGAATATTTCTATCAAAAATTGCAGTATTATTGTGTGAAATAATTTATATTTATTTCGTCCAGGGGCTATAAATAATACTTTATTGGGTATAATTTTAACGCTGTCATTTAAAAAAGAATAATGATCGGTACATTCAGGTTGCATTTCACATTACTTGTCGTTGCATTCCGTTGCCTCTTTGGTTTTGGGTAAACCTATTACGATGCAATACATTTTTAAGTAAGAAACAAACGAGTTTTTACCACATTTTATTTGGTAAAAATTAATAAAGGCACATTCACAAAGGACGGAAATACTTATATATGTACATATGTATAAATTCTCGGGAAGTTTGTGTCCTTCACATGACATTTCTCAGAGTATCTGTCCATTTTTTCTCATTATTTCCTCAACTTCACAGTCCAAATCTGATTAGACAAGCGAAGAGGTCAAGGCCAACTTCAAAGGATTTGATTTCATTAAAATATAACAATTACAGCAATGTTCATAAATAAATTAATAATTAATAAGTTACAATAAATAAAAAACAACACAAACACAAGACGATGACACATCAAAATATTTATAATGCCGCTGTGGCGAAGAAAGACTTTTATGGCAGTGACGTATTTGGATTTGTCGCGCATGCTCCCGCTATTCACGTGGCTAGCACTGTCTTAGTCTGGCACTATGGCAGGTTTCCCTCCATAATGGCGGCGACTCAGCCGTTTTCTTTGGTATGTTTCTGAGAAAATAAATGTTCTAGAGTCAACGGAAGTGACACACCGCTATCGTCCTTGGAATGCATCGGTTTTACTGGAAAACAAAAAAGAAACGGTAGATATTTTATCGATAAAACACCTTGTTTGCAAACTTCGCTTCCAACATTGTTTGATAAAAAAACTGCTCACATCTTAATTTGATTCTTATTCCATCAGAGCTTCTAAGAACAGCATCAACATATCGCGTTCTTTTTCTCCCTCTAATTTTCTTTTTTCTCCGCCGTCTCTTTTTGTGCTTCTGTTTTCTTCTCCACGAAGATCCTTGAAATTAAAAAAAAATCTTTTGTTTACTACCATGCAGACACTACAAATGCATGATATGTCATTTCATGTTTACTTAACTATACCTACTGTCGCAAGAACCGCTGTGGCGAGTATCTATAGCTATGCCCATTTTGCAGGACGCCTGCATCAGGTGACAATAGTTCTTATAATCCACGCCGTCCGTCCCACAGACCTTGTACCGTGACATCGGGGAACAGGTGCGTGATCTGCACAAGGCACACAGAGGCTGGTGATTAACGGGATTTATTAGACAGGACATTCCTTCCGAACACCCAGTGTCCAAACAAGTAGCGTTAGCTATGGAAAGTAATAGACAGTTGATATATTTTTTAACAACTTGCATTACTACTTGAAAGACAAAGATAAGGCGCGTTTTACAGTGAATGTCGTAAAAGTAAGGTATCGAATGCACTTGAAATAAATAAAGTGTTCTTGCTGGGGACATGTATTACGAAACAAATCGTGATAAAAGGTAATTTCTGATAATTTATACCTCGACATTTGCCATAATAGGCGATTCTAATTGACCTATGTCGTCTGCAAACTGCCGCCCTTAACTCACACGGATTTCGATACGTCACGCCATCTTCTCCGCATAAAACTCTGACGTCATCATTATTGGGGCAGCTTATCTGGCAATGAACACAATGTGGCAATCCATTCTGATCCTCTAAACAACGTTTCCCATTCAAACATCTTACCTTTTTGCATGATTCTGAAACGCATATAAGCATATTTTATGGAGTATTCGTAAAAATCGTTTATAAATGCAAAATAGGGGTAAAAGAGACAGAGATTTCTTAATTAAATCATTTATAATGGCTCAAAAGTTCTAAAGCTCATGTCTTACGTCTACAAACACCTCTGTAGGCCACAGATACTGACGTCTCCCGCTTACAGTTCCGCCTCCGTAGCTGACATTCATTGTTGTAGATCCTTCCGTCCGTTCCGCAGATTTTCCTGGACCTTCTCTGTCCCTGGGTACATTTTATTAGACAGGCACATTTAGGAACTCCTTTCTTTATTCGACAATGTTTTCCTCTTGGGCATTTGACACCTTCACAAGTATCTAAAACAGAACGTTAAATACTGTCTCACTTCTGTAGTTTATTATAAAAATGACGAAGATGGGCGCTCGCGGAGATTCATGTACCAATTATTTCTAATGATCTTAACATCCAATATTAGGGATTTCTATGTATTTTTCCGGGGAAGGGGGTATGCATATTATACATGTAGCTTTACTGTCATTGTAATGCTTTAATATAATCTATAATGTATCTGAAACCTGCAAATAAAAAAACTATTTCTTTTTTGTTATGCTTGTCGCGACAGTAATATCAATGAACCAAAAACTACACAATCATGCACTTTATGCTATTCAGATAAAGATGTCTGAACATTTAAAAATAAATCTCCCGCACTCACATTCTTTCTTTCTGCTTTATAAATGCATTTTTGTGATCTCGCGTTACTCTTATAGTGTTATTTTATTACTGAATAATTATCCCTAGAAGGTATAAATCTAGACATGCTGAAATTAATAACCATATTTCGTTCAATTAATGCTTTGTTACGTAATTTAACGATTTGTCGTCGTTGTCCATGAAGAACCTTGACTAACTAGATTTAAGGTTGTATTATTAAGAGAATAAATATTTCTGACGTTAATTTTAGAGGATAATGCGAGTTATAAAAGATACAAGCTGCTGGTGCAAAAATAAAAGTTCTTTTTTATGGCAAACTTTCGTGTAGACTTCACAATGATTTGACCCATTTCCGAAAAGACAAAATTAAGCAAGATTTGTGCTTAATTGACAACAGTTTGGTAACGAGAAACTCTGATTATGAAACAAACGTATTATTTTGAAACTTAGGCATAGAGATAAATATATCTCGTGACCTCGAAAACATGATTCCTTTGGGGTTTTTAGTCTATTTATAGATCTTTTTATTACATAAATTGGCAATTATTTTTTTCTACTCGTAATTAGTGGTGGCTAATCAACAAAAGTCGTTCATGACTTTCATTTCAAAATGTCTACAAACCAAAGAAAAAGTTTTTTTTTATGTTTTAAACTTATCTATAATTCATAAAGAAGTTTTATATACAGATTCTTTAAAAAATTCCGAAAGGATTGAAAAGGTTCAAATGATGCTGACACATGCGTAACATTGAGGTTCATACAAGATATGGGGGATACAACAAAATTTAAATACAATAATAAAAATAACTGGTATAAGGCTTTCTTGTACAATTCGTTACCAATGAAATTTCAATAAAAGATGCATATGGTGAAAATTGTAAAATGTAAATTTATTTGCTTTAAGCCTTTGAGCTAAGAAATGGCAACGAAACATATAGCTATATTTCAGCCTGTCATTCAAGAATGGTATTATACAGAATGCATATTGTGCAACAAAAGTTAAAAATTTTAACTAAAGGTAAAATAATCAAATTGCTTGTTATAAAAATTATTATCATAATTAAAAAGGGGGATCGTACCGCCAACGAAGAGAGTTAAAATTCATTGAAAGCAATGTATTTAGTACATATCCCCTATGTACTATGTATCTTTAAAAATACATACATTTTGGTATTTAAACGAATTGAATGATTAATTACTTGTCAATTGTCGCCATCTAAGGCTTTAGATTGCTGTATTTAGTTGACAAAAATATAATTCATTTGTTCTTGATTTATATAAAAAAAAATCTTTAAATAACTATACATGTAGGCATATATGTAAAGGTTCGCTAGTCACATCGAAAATTTGACAAGAGATGTGCTAATTTAGTTACAATATTAGAATCTGCGTACACAAGGAAACATTTTTCGATATCTTTTTACAATACTTTGATATTTTTCTTCAATGTTCTTTGAAGCCTAATTTTGTCCCTTAAGATAACAAATGAGAGTGTAATATTCCTGCTATATGAAATTTTGTCCTTGAGCATCCGACAAAATATCCATCTTCGCGCTGATTAAGCAACGGCCTAGGGTGCTTCTTTTTTTTTTCAATCATTTTAACTTAATTTTCGGTATGCATACGTTGTGATGAAAGTGTACATAACAAGTTTTTCTCTATGTGAGCAAGATTTTTTTTTCACTTCTGGAGAAAAATGTAGCGCTTTTTTATTAGAAAAAGTTAACTCGTTAATATTTGTTTCGTGAAAAAAATGCATTCGACTTTTGTACATCAGTTCTGTATAACTTCGGCGGAGAAACATCTGGTCTTCATGCTTCCAAGTCATCATTTTAACAGGAAAACTTTTAATTGCTATGTAATATCAGACATCAGTAATTTGGTCTTTCGTATCACAATACAATGGCCCTCGTGTGGTGTTAAGCAAATACACATTTTCTTTCATTTAAATTCCAATTAATTTAAGATATCAAAGAAAACTCCTGTTTAACAAAAAATTATTAAACTTTACCAATTACAGATTATTTTGAAATTTTGTTTCTCTTACCGTGACAAAGTTCGCAGTGCGGAGCGCCCCCTATCAGCTCCTGCCAGTAGAAGAGATCTCCGGTGGAAGTGAAAGTCTGAGGGGTCCAGCTCACGTACGGAGAGGGATTCTTACAGCATTCTTCTTTCGTCACGTTCAGATTGAAGGCACCGAAACACATCTTCTGTTTTGTCATCGACAACCAGCAGGTGCCCGCTGAAAAATGTCGTTCATTGTTTTACTTGAATTACTATAAAACTCCTAGTATCAAATTATTATTTGTTTAAAGGGCTATATATTCACTTCACAGTGAAGAGTTTGAATTTTTATGCAGCTAATGTAATTTGCCCTTAGATCTAAAATCAAATTTATTGAAATATATACAGTATATATTACTGAATTCGTAATCAGTTCAAGCATATTCGTAACATTTTATTAAACCAAAATAAATCAACTGAACACTTTATCTGGATGTACATGTACTTTTCCCAATATTAAGTAAGCAACGGTGATTGCTACATATTGTTTTCTTCAATATTTTGCTTTGAACCTTTTTCCTGGAGGTAAATTGCTGGTTCCCTATGTTGAAAATAAAATAAACTCAGTATATTTACACCTTTGTGCGATACAAGTTCCTAAAAGAACATTTCCATTGGTGTAGAGAGCGTCCTTAAGAAAGATGGAAATATCGTGTATTAATATATATACAGTGTATATGGAGTGTTGAAAAAAAACTACAAACCAGTAATTTATCCACACTGTATACATGTGTATGAGGGAAATTTTGATTTAAACATTTCCATACATTCATAATATTCTTCGGAAGCAGCGCCTTAAAATTGTTATTAAATTACTTCAGAAACGAAGGAGTAAACAGATTGGTGTTGATTTACCTGTCGGTAGCCTTTGATTGGGTTTTAACAATACTGACCTTGAAGTTAATTAATAATTCAATAACAACTTTAAAAGCAATGAAATTAACTATAGAAATAATTGTTTTTTCAGCGTCACAAGTCATCGGAATGTAGGTTCTCCCCTGTAACCTTGCTGGATATGTTTCAATATTTTCAAGAAAATTATGTCTGGAGTAATAATTCAAAATGTCATGTCAATCGATAGTCATTTAATTCTCGGTTTCCATTCTTCAGGGATATATTCAGTTGTCCGGAAATCAGTCGGGGCCAAAAATACCGAAACTGAAATAGTAAACAATAGAATTTCTCTTAACTGTCACCAGAGCCCTTTATTAAGATTTCTATGAATTGCGACAAATCAACAAAATATGAAGAAAACCGAGACTTTAAACTTCCCCACTTCCGCGTGTTGAAGTCCATGTAAATAATCGTAGTGTGTAATAGGAAGTGCGAGGGCAGGTATTTTACACAGATTAAACCTTGACTGCAGCTCGCAGCCCAGGCGAAAGCAAAACGAACGCGCCGTATCAAAATGAAATATTAATAGATGATATCTCTAAAGCTGTGTAAATCACAGAATATAATTTATATGACATAAGTCGGTAGGTTAGCAGGATTCAACGAATCCAATGCTTATTTCTGGGTAGAGTATAGGGGAATTTCCGAATTTCCTTTTGATAAAAATCGTTGAATAAATAAAATTGTTAATCAGCATTTTTCAAGGTCCAGCAGATATACAGAGAATAATCATCAGCAGAGTTTATTCCGGGGAGATTGGTTTTTTCCCAAAAATTGTAGGTGGCAGATTACACACACATGTACTTAAATGTTCTTTGATAATGACAGTCATATCATCGATCCATTGAGTTATAGTACATGTACATGTATACAATACAGACGGGGGATGGACAAACAATATAGCAAAAACTCAAGTTGATCTAAATAGAAAACAATCAAATCCCAGCCACCTTTGATGACATTGCCCCCACCCATATCAACACTAATGAAGGAATCTACAATACTTTTAAGCTACAATTGCTGAGCTATCTAAAAATCATTTATGAACTTTTTTTAAGTTCACATATTCGCAATGTTCAAAACGGCCCTTAGTTTTAGAAGTACGTGCTGATTACTGCTTGATATAGCATTTCTAAACTTAAGCACTCGTTTTAATAAAAGAATTTTTAAAAAGGCTTTATACTTCCTACTTGATTTTATTTCGGTCAACAAGTGCAGATCGAATATTAAAACAAAAGAGACACGTCCGGTTGATAACCAGGCCTCAATTACTTATACTCATCACTCCTACAAATGGCAGTACAAAGGAATCGGCGCACTTTGTCTTTTGTATCGTGAAAGGTTTTTCTATGGTATAGAATAATCGGAATCTTTTTGATATTTCCTTTTCTTATTTTCAACTAAACACCATTGAAATTTGGTAATATCTTATAAAAATTGTTTCGAATACGATGTTAAGTATTCTGCAGAAAACTATATGAAAAGATGGCATTTTATGATCTTGGCGTGTTTGAAAATTTTTGATTTACTACACTTTGAATAATTTTTATTTTCGCCCCCCCCCCCCGTTTTTTAGACAATTCTTCCCTCTGTCCGTCACTTCTGTGTTTGACCTTTGGGTGAATGACCGCCCTCTTTCACCTGAAATCAACCCCGGAAAACAACAATCATGGATACGTATGAAGTTGTTTTTAAAACATCTAATAAATCAGAAAATTTCGTTTAATCCTTTCTTTGTATTTTGAAAAAGACATTATTTCAAGGGTGAAATTTTAGTGAGTAAGGTTTCCAAAATTGTAGTTATTTCAGCAATTAAGGGTTTAAGCGCGATTACTATGCTACTGTAAAAGTGTTTTAGGTCACGGCACGCTCAGTAATTAGTCCCCAGAATTTTTAAAATATCGAAATGTAGGGCGCCCTTTCGGTGCGTAAGTGTTATTTGAGATAGAATACATAATATGAAAATAAATTTGTTTTACGCACATCAAACGGGTTGAATGCATTTGCTTTGACACAAATGAAATAATCATGCACAAATATCCAGAAATTCTCGTCTTTCTGGTGGATATTAATAGCAGAAATGTCTAAGAATGCGGACAAATACCTGCCCTAAACCTTTGATAATTTTTGGGGGAAATACAAGGAAATTGATTTTTCTTGGGAAATTTTATGCATTCTCTGAAAATGTCTTTTATCATAGTTTTATGCTTCATACTTATTAATAAATACAACCAGATTTTATGGTTTATTTGAATTTTAAATTCTCAGCACCAAAAGTTACGATTCCTAATTCCCTGTTTCTGATCGACTAATTGGTATATGGGTGTATTCGGTGTAATACTGAGAAGGCGCGATCTACGTTGAGTTATTAACCCCAATGAGCCCATCATTAGATGGAGATCAGAAACAAATAATCCAACGAAATGGTCTTCAAACATAATTTATGAGTTTTGCGTGAGGTCTTGAGTAGGTATAACGTTAGCACTTGCATGAACGCAATTAAAATTAGATGCGTCAATGTCTCTTATTAACATAAATATACAAATTGCTTATCTCTATCTTTTGGGTCACGAAGGTGGCAAATTTTTATGGAACATTTAGTATGAAAGGCACATTGCTTCTTCTGATGCGCTTTCATACATTACTTTTAAAATATGCATCAATAAATGCATGTTTGTTCTCTATTAAGTGTTTTGATCATTTCCATTTTAAATATCGTTTGTCTGTATATATTTCATTAGGACAGTCGCATTTTTCAGACACCGGCATATTGAACGTGCGAAGTTCTTTTTCGTTCTGACTCATTACTAAAGCCTTTAATACTTTTCCTTAAAAGAGAAGTATAATATCTTTTATAATTAACAAAATTTAATTACAAAATCCTGAAAATTCTCCAGCTTATGAATGGTGCAGTAAAACAGACTAAAAATTCGCAGTATCGGCGATTTGTAGGTTCCATTGAACATCGAAGTTCTTAAAAAATTTCGGTATCTTTTAATTTTAGAACCAATTATACCTCTTCATAAAAATTCCGTTCGAACAATGTCTGACCGTAGCACAACAATTATATGGCTGTTAAAAGAGAACTCGGAGCCACCCTCTTAAGTGTCAAGTGCAAAAAACAGAGAATATAAGAACATAGAATTTGATGGCGTGCGAGCTCTGATCGTCCATGGACTATAATTTAACCTTATAATAAAATGTTCTTTATTTTTGTCTTGAAATCGATGGAATCCTGGTGGTAAATAGGAATATTTACACTCTGTACTTTTAACTTTCGTCTGGTGGCTCAACTTTTTGATTTGTGTATCGATTCCTATTGAACAAAGTAGGTCGACTGGGGCCAATAACTTACCTACTGAATATACGACCCTATAGGGGGGACTCCCCCTGGCATTCTTTATTAAATCCTTTATTAGAAGTATCTTAAGTTAATAAAGACAGGAGGAAAAGACATAATAAATACAACAAAAAACGGGTGCATTAAGTCTGGGGCAATACGATATCAGTGTAATCTCTGATCGATTCCGGACGCATGTTTTGAATAGGTATAGGGTCTTGTCTTGCCAGGTAGCCAAACTATTCCCTTTGAAGTGTTGTATTGTAACAGAAAACAATGTTCTAGGTGATCGGAAATAACTATTTCACGTTGACTTGTATTACAACTGAGTCAACAACGAACAAGTGTAAATAATGTTTACGCAAATAGCCGCGGCATTCTATATCACATACTCCAAATGTCGAACAAAAAAATGAAAAATGTGAAGTTTAAAATTCGATTGAGACTTCTGATCTGGTGCAGGGACTTCAAAGAGATTCGCAGAGTTATTTTCTTATTTTTTCCCCCTTCTTTGAGGCCTGTTATTGACTTAGACGAAGTGCGGCGCGCGGCAGCTACTACATGTCACTTTTCAGCTAGCGACATATCTATGTATATGCTGTATTATAAATTATGTAACTTTATTTACTGCGTCTAGACATTCTACAAGAATCAATCAACTCATATTGATCCCAAGTCAGTCATCCCAGCAGATAAGCAGGCTATTTACCATCTTACCCCGTCACACAGGTACGGCTGGAATGAGGATTTCAGGATGTTTGCTTAAGGAAATATTGCTCGAAAACAAAACAGAACGTCGAGACTATGCCCGCACCTACTTTTTTTTCTGCGGACCAGAAAACAGGACAGGCTCTTTGTCACGTCTGGGTTGTCAGTCATCTTCGGCCGAAAGATGAGGGAGACACTACACAATGGAACCCGGAATCGTGTAAATGCAAGACATATAAGTATAATTTGGCTGACAGTCAAACGATACACTGTCGGAGTTTAGATTTCCAAGGACAGTGTGTGACTTTGATGTAGCACATCACGGCAGTGCATCGGGTAGATGCACAGTTTGACGCTGTTTTCAACATTAGGCCTCGGCCCTGACCCTCGGTCCGGGTAATTGCGTTCGTTTATATCTTCACAAAGGCATGAGAACGCAACACGAACATCACTTATACTATAATCTATCGCCCACCGGAAACAGATTGATATCTTCTGCAAGTTTTTGACGCATATATTATTAATTACTTCAATCATTCTTGTTGTGTTAGAATACTTTGATCATGTCGGGCAGCCAGGGAGGCTATTTTGCTTTTTAATAGTTACACTATATTTATCATCACAGCAAATTTATCATAATCTTCAGCTATTACATAAACACCGCTTTTTGTGAATGATGCAATGTGCAGCAGACTGGTAACGTCTGCTACAGGTGCGAGGGAAAATTTTGGCGCTAAAAGTGCGTAAGCTCTCCGTTACGTGAAAATAGGGTCCCACGCATCTTTTGTTAAGTTAATTACTTTTCGCCATTCATATAGGTTCTTTTGCCAACTTTACTATGCGGATTTTTTAAAGAAGACCTACGCAAGAAAATTTACCGAATTAAAGGTAGATTTTACGAGAAAAGGTTTTAAAAGTTTGATATGAAGGGAAAAAAAATAGAATAAATAATCCTTTTTTTTCGTAGTTTCAAAAGTTTTATGAAATGGAGCAATTTAGAATAAATAATCCTTTTTTTAATAGTCAGATTGTATTAATATTTTTTAATTTAGAAAAAGCTAGAGAACTTCCTACTTGTCTCTACCTTTCACATGGCATTCTTTGTAAAATCCAGATATTTTTTCACGCTTACTAATATTGAAAATATTTAAATTGTTAAAAATGTCCGTACGTATGATAAATACAAATTTGATAATTTAATCATGAAAAATGGTGACAAGTGCGAAATCTTAAGAACCCATCTTGCAAGAATGGTTTTCAGAATATGTTGATATTGCAAAAAAAAAAAAAATTAATGCTGTCAGAACTTAATCAAAAATACAATGGAAATCAAAACATGTTAGAAGGGAAAGACTACAATACTACTGTAAATTAGTGGAGTATATATTTTCTTACGTATACAATACTTCTATAAAGTTACATGTATCATTGAGAGAAGTAGGTAATTAGAAACAGAAAGATAAAAGTTGTAAAAGTCTTGTGTATAGTACTCACCCTGTGTCCGACCGACCCAAGCCAGGAGGAGGAAGAGTATAATTAAAGAGTTAGCATCCATCTTAACACTATCGCACATCAAACCATTATCATTTGGGGGGAATAAAAGAAAAAAAACAAAGCTCACACACGAAGTTGAATGATCATGATAGACTAGATAATCTATCCTGGGGTTTATGTCGAGACAGTGTCGTGAATTGTTACTGTCTGACTGAAGCACGTGTTTGTCTGCTAGTAGTTTTGATAGTAACTTACTGAACGATGTCACTGCATTTTATTAGGCATGACTGGTAGTCGGTACAGTCTCGAGTTGGGGGAGGGGCATACGGCGCGGAAGGCGAGCGTATTGGCGCGATCTGCAGGAAGGTGGCGTAGACAGCTTCAGGATTTTACAATCAATTATATAACACGTAATAATTCCGCATTCAGGTGCACGGTCGCTGCTCTTGCATTAGCAGGTAATTGCATTATTTACGATTGATATGTTTTGAATGGTTATTTTTGAGGTTGTGCTTTATCAAAAGAAAACAGAACTATATAAATAGATACGGGACCACTTCTAAATGTCTTCTTCCCGACAACCGATATTTACCTTAGACAGGTGTGTTAATATAGCAGCGTGTATTGGCCACAATTTGTAGGTCATGAATTGCAGTTGTAAGGACGATTACGTGAATTTCCTGGTTGACAATGGTCATGTATTTTGATATAGGCGTGTTTACAAGAGATACCGTGTATTAAACACAATTGATACCCTTTTTTCGATGTGATCTTCCAAAGGCAAAAAAGTGTACAAGGAGTACAACTCATCTGAAGATCTCTTACTGTAGAAAATAATTATGTAACAATGCACAAACAGATAAAATATAGCTCCTCCAAACAACAGGGTTTTTTCATACGCTGATACGTTAAAAATTGTCCACAGCCCCATTATATAATTTAATATTGTATGGTAAATAGTTTAAGAAAGATATATCATTTTCATATCAACGAAATCGACACCCTTCGTCTGGGATGTGGTTTATATTAAAGGTAGCATACAATGGGGTATATGACCACCCAATTTCTGTGGCTAGACTGATATCATTTCCGCGTTCTCACATGATTTTGTTGCTTATTTCTGTTGCAGAAATTTGTTGCCATGTTTGATCTTTGGAGACCCGTCTTTTAATACATCAATTTTCACAGTCTAAGGGTTATTTGTAATGCGAAGCGAAAAAAAAAATATGCAAAGTGACTCTAATTATATAAGAGTTGCAGACAATTACATATTGCAAAAAATGTGAAAGCAAAATGCAGCAGGAAAAAAATGTTTTAGAGTCTCGTGTTTTGATGAAATTGGAATTTTTTCCTGTTATCCACAAGTATATGTAATTTTGTACAGAATTCCAAAGCTTTCTCAGCTCAAACTTTGTAAAATACATGTATATTTTCACAATTTTTTTTTTCAACAAAAGTAAGAGGTGTGTCACCCTTCAAGCATTATTATATTATTTTAAATATGCTATAAATCGAAGCCTTTGTTAAAAGTTAAATAATTATTAAAATTCTTGATATATATATAATATATATAAGGTCAAATATCAAGAGCTTATGAGAGTCCCGGACTAAATATTACAAAAGAACTTGTAACTAATACCAAACTTTAAGCTTGTTCTTAAAGATGGTATATCTAATAATTTTAATAATTCCGTAAAAGTTGCTTGCCTAAAAATATATTTTTTTTAATTTGTTCAAAGAAGATTAATGTATTGAATTATGATTTAAAGAAAAAACAATATGTAAAACAGACACAGGGTCTGCTACGTTGTTTCTTATGATATTTATGCTTAATATAAAAGGCATTCTTGTCCAAAAAAAGATGGAAATTTGATTCTGAGGACAATGCTCAAGGTCATGTGGGGACCGTTATGAAAAATGGCTTGTATTATGATGATTTACTTACACAAATATGCATCAAATATCATTTGTCTAGATGAAAGATGAAAATAAAATTAGATAGTCTTAGAAAAAAACATTTTTAGGTCAAAAGTCAAGGTCAAATAGGGTTATGATGGTACACGACACATCGTATTACGATAATACATTAATAAGAATAGGCAAAAGAAAAAAGTTTTACGAGAAGAACAAGAAGAATTTTGGACAGAACAATAATTATGTATTCCCTTCGTCGAAGACGAGAAAATACTTGATCAAGAGACACATTAGTCCGAAATATCTGACGTTTTCCAGGCTTTTTTCACGATTTTGATATTCTACGTGCCAGAAAAACGTCAGAACCGGCGCAATTACGAAAACTGGAAATTTCACCGTCTCCAACCAGAGCTGATTTTCGATACTTGCGAACTGAATTAAATGCCGAACTTACAATTTATTAGTAGTACTCGCCAATATCGATGAAAAGAAAATATCACTCCATATTTCGATATATACAGTATTTGCGAGATTTTAAAATGCACGAAATGAAAAGAAAACTCGACCGTCTGATAAAATGTTTTCACCAGACTGTATATTTCATAAACAAACCCATAAAAACGATGGTGGTGAGTACTAAAGGCATTGTACTATTAATAAGTTGTGAATTCAGCATTTAATTCGGTTTGCAAGTATCGAAAATCAACCCGAGAATGCCGCCTCCAGTTGGAGGCGGCGAATTTCCAGTTTTCGTAATGGCGCCGCTTCTGACGTTTTCCTGGCACGTAAAATATAAAAATAGTAAAATAGCCAGGATAACGTCAGAAATTTCGGACTAGAGACACATAGGATGCAAATAATCTCGAGACATCCGGAAGGTGTAACCGTTTTCGTGCACATTACACGAAAGACTACTTTGTTCAATATGGACCGACGTCGACGAGTATAGTTTACATGACATGTATTATAAACATTTTTCCCTATACAGTTACTTTGAGAAACGAAGATTTATAGCGAGCGCAGCGAGCTCAATAGACTATCGTGTAAGAACAGAGGAAATTCGGAATGAAATCTGTACATACGTCAGGCAAATTTTCTTGGTCAACATTCCCAGAATTCCTTTGCTACCAGGGTTCCTAGCCTGGTTCCCTGCCTCATCCTAGCGTCGCGTAGTATACGAAGCATAACAGGGACAGGGAAGCAGGCTACCAGGGTTCCATGCGAAATTATTACAAAAGACCAAGGATAATTGTTCCTTACCAAGAGATAAGTTTACTTTAATTTCTTTGCAGAGAGCTTAAAAGAAACAACAAAAAAAACAAAAACAAAAACAAGACAAAAAAAAAAAAACCAATTGCATCTACTCCACAACGTATTTCATTTAATTTTTTCACAAGAACTATTCAACCAGACGCGTTCGGCTGTCTCCGTAAATTCCAACGTGCGGTGGAGCTAACGTTACAAGTGTAAGCTGTGTATATTATAGGTTTTTGATGGTACAACTGCGCTCGCCCTACCGGTCACACCGTAAAACATATTACAATTACAGGAGTGTATAAAGATGCATTTACTATATGTGCGCTTCTGCAACAAAAGTACATCTTTTCTTATTTGGGGAATATATAGTTAGTTTGCTCATTAGTATTTCGAGTAAAATTAGCTTTATAATGGGAAATTAATTCGTTCCTGGGATTATATATTTTAAACAATCCTTATATATGTACTTATTTAATGTTAGATTTAACCCACTTGGGGTACCAAATTTTAGCAACATCACAATTTATATGGTATTTCTAAAAATCTAATGTGCTTTTTCAGAACTTTTTAACTGTTACAATGTATTTTTATCCATGGCCATTAGAAAATACAAGCTGATTTAGTCTGTTTGAAAAAAAGAACTTTTTTTTTTTTAATTCAAATAAAATGGAAATTTTTTAAGAAAGTGCACTCAACTCCAAATTCTTGATCATTTCATGGATAAGTGCTAGCTTGAAGGTGTTCTGAGTCATTCTCGGGTAACAAACAACGGAAGAGGGGGTGGGACAAAGCCGACGGAATTGTCTACATGAACCACTTCTGTATTATTTCAGTCGCCACGTCTCGATCGATCCAAGACAGCCTTAACTTTCGTGACAGCGTTCGCTTGATGTAAAACATTGCCAAAGATACTATATTTTTTAACCCTCAATTACTATACAAAGTGCGTCATAGACTACCGTTTCACGCCAAGGTCTTCTGAGAGTATCGTATGTTTCAGGTGTTTGATCACTTTCACAATGCAAGTCTGTATGATAACCTTGGGCAATTTCAGCTGGTTTCTGGCATAGCCGACAAATGATATCGTTATATCATTGTAAGCATAATTCTTGTGTGTTTGCTTTGAGAATTTTTCATCAAATTATTGGTGGAAGGCTGCAAATTTAGACTATACTAGGCATTCAGTAAGTCATGGCCATTGAGCAGTGGGATCTTTTTCGTGTAAGCATCTAGTACGTCCCTCGAACCTGCGACGTTTCTCCGCGACCCGATCTAATCACTGCGCCATGTAGTGCTTTTTATAATCATAATAAACAAATAATGATATTTTGTATGTAATAAATAGATTCCATTTTAGGGGATGTTTCGTCATTTGATCTGAATTTTTTTAGCTGAACTTCCTCACACGCCTTACTTACTAATTTCCAAGTAACTATATTTACATTCAGTGTAATTTTCTTTATGAAATCCAATAGAAATTTAAGACATTCAAATCTCTATAACACACACGAAACTTTGTCACCGCGCGGTAGAATACACATTAGGAACTCCAAGCATTTTCAATATCTAGGAACACCAAAATGTATATTGTTTTGACTCAATTTAATAAAAAAAAAAATAATAACTACCGTTAAATTAACGTAAAATACAATAACTGTGCGTTTAAAATTAATTTGTCATAATTTTTTTTCGCAATGTTCATTTGCGTTATTTAACTTTCCAACGTCACTAACGGCTCTTACGTCTATTAAGCACACCAGTTCTGAAAGGCGCTAAATTCATAATAAAGATTAACGAAATCAAGAATTATGAAGAGAGAAAATTAGAGAATGTAAATATAAGCACTGAATTCTTATTTTTTGGATATCGTCGGTCCTATAACACGTACACCTGGCCGTGCCGACAAATTATCATACAGCGCTAACGCGCGGTATATAATTTGTCGGCACGGCCAGGTGTGTTATAGGACCGACGATATCCAAAAATAAGAATTCAATGCTTAAATATACTCTGTATTATTTATTGTAGGGATCTTCTGC